CTTTCCCTATGCATGTCAAAAGCAGGTTTCAAAATAGTATGTGTTAGGGAGAGAGTGTGAGAGCGAGAATGTGTATTTTAAATAATACCATATATACTATTTTGAAACCTGCTTTTTTCACTTAGCAGCATAATTATGTTCTTTAATGGTGTCGTAGCATGTTAAATCATGTAAGCTCTACCTCTTTTTACTTTGTTTTGCTTCAAGCCTGTCAGTATTATCAGCTTAGTTTCCCTAACTCAACAATATAAATGTTTTCCTTTATGAGGCTGAAAGAAAGCAGAATGGTCATAAATTTGATGGTTTATTAAAGTATTAATGAGATGAGTTTACTTGAACTTTCGAGTTATGGAACTTATTACAGTTTTTCCAAGATAGCTGGACTATGAGAGGATGGGGAAAGCATGGAACATATTTTCAGATGAAGGGCATGCCAAAACTGAGGTCTGGCCTGGAGCTGGAAGAGTGTGTAAAGATAGAGAAGGAGGTAAAGTAGATGGGAGGCCAATTTTAGAAAATAGACATATGGTTTCTATGACTTTTCAGGCTTAAAACTTGAAACCAGAACCTGGGATGTTAGACCAAACCAGAGTACATCATTAAGGTTTGGAGTCCAGATGGTTACACTAGGATCAGCTCTAAGAGATCAAAGGTGAGCAGCAAAGTAGAGATAAAGTCTGAAAAAAAAGGCATAGAACATAGCTCCAGGTTCAAGCTAGGCATAGACCGGGAACTACAGTTCAGTTTCTTGTTCAGTTGGGCAGATTATCATAGTAGCATACCTACTATGTGATCATTGACTTCATGACAATGTATTTTTCATGGTTCCAATTCTAAACACCCTTGGAATTGGGTAAGGCTGATAAGTGTATGTTGCTGGGGAGTTGGATAGGTTGTATATGTTTTGGAGGAAAGGTCTAGGTTCTTGCTTTAGGAAGCACTTTGGGTCAGGATGTAGAGGTATATAGTCAAGGTGTGATAGGCCCCTGATCTACTTTCAGCATCCCTTGCCCCCAACACTTACCATACACACGTCATTAGCCAACTTGTCATACGTTCATCTCGGGATTCAAATGGCTCTTTTTATGCTTTGGAATGCTGCCTAGAAATATATAGTTAACACATTCATTATTATGAGTAGGTTCATAGGATGATTAAAAAGTAAATGAGGAGAAGAAAGAACTTTCCTTGTGGGTGGAATAACATGGTTCACTAATAAAGAAGATGCAATCAAGAAAAAAGTTGAAGACATTACTAAACTTAAACACTACTATTATTTCATGCCCCTCCCTGCCATTTTTCTCCTGATCCAGTCTTGCACTTTTATAAAAACTCATCAATATACTTTTCATAACAACAGCAGGTCAGCAGTAGTGAAGGGAGTATGAATGGTTTATTTTCTTGTTTTCTCAGGCACAATAATCTTGGTGCGCGACCAAAAGGGCTATCTACTCTGGTGAAGAGTGGTGTTCCTGAAGCATTGAGGGCAGAGGTATGGCAGTTATTAGCAGGCTGCCATGACAACCAGGCAATGCTGGATAGGTACCGACTTCTTATCACAAAGGTAGGAGATCTTTTCATATTATTCTCATGCAACAGTATATTAAGTAAATCCTGTTTTCATAGCTCCATAAATGCTTTGAACTTCTTTAAAAACTCTATTGCTGTTCAGTGAATAGTTGCCTTTTGTTCTAAACACTTGTTGGACAGTGATAAACAATGCACTGTAGTGATCTATGAACACTTAATGCCTTGGCTTTCATTTTTTTGTTCGAGTAACTTTATAACTGTTTACTAAGTTGGGATATACTTATATTTCAAGTACTCTCAATTAACCTTTCTTACTGTATGAGATTTATGTACAGTTGTACACAGTATAACTGTACTCTAGTATAATTTTAAAGTCAAATTAACTTAAAATGAAATTATAAGGCCTTCTATGCTTATGTAACCTTACACTTAAATGATGTGGATACTTGCCCATATCCTTATCCTGTCAGGAGCCTCTGGTTCCAATGTAAATTCCTTTGCTTATGCCCAAAAAATTGATTTTAGACCACAGGTAAAGGTAATCCTCGATCCTAGGCTCTCTTCTTAGGTCTTATCTGCTAATTTCTTAATTACTCTAATAAATCATGGATTTTAACATAATGGTAACATTTTGTTCGTTTTATAGAAAATCTCTATTCATAAATAACTTTTTTTTGATAAGTAAGACTTTATTCCTCAGGCTATATCAACTTTTAAAATTCTTTAGCCTCTCTGATTCCTTCTTCCCTTCCTTACCTCTTTGCCACCCTCCCTTTCACAAATACTTTCTGAGTGCCTAGTATATTCAGTCACTGCTAAATTCATTCATTTTTTTTTTAAAAAAAACCTTTATACCATTTTTTATGATTAGTATTTTCTATAGTGGGATGTGCAAGATGATCCATTGATGTTGGGGGCAGAGATGTCTAAAGTTCCATTTGCATTTTTTAAGTTACAAATGCAAAATGTTATTCAGCTATACTAATATTTGTTGTGCCATGCTAGGTCCTTGGGTCTGATGGCCACTTGTCCTGTGTGGTTCAGGAGTGACCTGGGGGAAGAAGGGATTTGCACACCTTGGAATGGAATAACAGTGGTGCTCATGCTCATATATTCGCTTTTAGAATACTCAGTTTTCTTGCAGTTTGCTTGTGTTAGATTAAGTGGATTTACAAGTTATCTAGTTTTAAATCTTCATAGGATAGATGGGTAGTTCATAAAGTCTGCTGTCACAGGATGTTACATATCAAGATATTTAAAAAAAAAACAACACACCAATCTGTCCTTCAAGCAAAAATTAATGTTATGATAATGGATGACAAAGCAACTACTTTGGGAAATAAATTCATGTTATAGAGAAGGCTGTTTGAAACATTTAGCAATTTAAACATTACTGTGTGATTTTGTGACTGAAAACTACATGCCTGTGTTATTACAAAACTCTTACCATTTTCTTACTTTAAAATCTGGAATCAGAAATTTCAGGTATGTTTAAAACTTGTGAAAATGGTTGCAGAGAATTTGAGACTGATTTTTAAAAATATGAAAATACAACACCTTCTGGTTTATTTGTAAGAATACTTTGAGAAAATGAGTACTCTCCTAGCCAGATTTCAACAAAATGGTTGATGGGTAGGACTGAAACAGATGATGTGCCTCTGCTTGGATCTATTGCTCTTTGTTATTATTTTCCAGATATGATCACAATTAAAACCATGAACCAAAAAACTGACTTTGGAAAGTTTTCAAATTGTCATTTCATAAACTGCTAAACAAACATGTCAGAAGATGAGGAGTCATATTGTATGATTCTATTTATATGAGATGTTTGGAATAGACAAATATAGAGAGACAGAAAGTAGACTAATGTTTGCCAGGGGATGGGGAAGGGAGGAATTGGGAGTGACTGCTAACAGGTGTGGGGTTACTTTTTGGGGTGATGGAAATATTCTGGAATTCGAGGTGATGGTTGTGCAACATTGCGAATATACTAAAAACCACTGAACTGTACACTTGAAATGGTGAATTTTATGTCATGTGAAGTTTATCTCAATAGAAAAATAAAAAAATTTTAAATGGCCCATGTTCAATATTGAATAGTATTTTTGTAGTATTTTATTTAAGCAAATGTTTTTCATTTTTAAATTTTTCTCTACATTTCTATAGTATTTATATTAGTACTATAGAGAGAAGTAGACTAATGTTTGCCAGGGGATGGGGAAGGGAGGAATTGGGAGTGACTGCTAACAGGTGTGGGGTTACTTTTTGGGGTGGGGGAAATATTCTGGAATTCGAGGTGATGGTTGTGCAACATTGCGAATATACTAAAAACCACTGAACTGTACACTTGAAATGGTGAATTTTATGTCATGTGAAGTTTATCTCAATAGAAAAATAAAAAAATTTTAAATGGCCCATGTTCAATATTGAATAGTATTTTTGTAGTATTTTATTTAAGCAAATGTTTTTCATTTTTAAATTTTTCTCTACATTTCTATAGTATTTATATTAGTACAGTAGCACTTGTGAATAATAAAAATAAATAATAAATATACATATATTGGAAGTTTATGCTCAGACATTTTTATTGATGAGTATATCTGAGCAAAAATGTCCAGAGACCATTAACTTTTGGCATCAAATCACTTTTGCACATAATTAAGCTGTATACCTTTAGTGGCTGCTCATGGCATAGCAGCAACTGTCATATTCCTTCCTCCACTAAGAGGCTTTGTTAATTCATACCTTTTAAGATTTCAGACTTTGGGAGAAAAATGAAAATAGTCTCCCAAAATATTATTTATAAACTCCTGACAATACATATGTTCATATATGTGATAAAAGCTGCCATATATACCAAGCAACATGGTAGTTTTGAATATACAATTTTTAGGAAAAAGTTTAAGATCAAGAGACAGAATGACATAAATGTTTTCATTGAATAAAATATTCCTGGACTGCTTTCACTGTGGGGTTCTGGCTGTGATTTACTTTCTGCCTGTGAAGACTGGAGGGAGGAAAAAAAGCCACATTATTTTCCTCTGGCAGTGGTGGGCAGATGCCTGGGCCTTGCCAGTTGTGAGATTTTGCATCTGCTTTGGGTGTTCCATTCTGAATCACCTGCCTTCATTCTGTAGTTCCTTTTTCCTGCAGCTTCCTATCCTGAGTAGCAATAGCAACCTCCTGATTCTTTGGACTGTAGTTGTGGTGGCAAACCTGAAAGCTAGCAGTGATGTTCCCAATCTTTTGGTCTTCCAGTGTGTAAGTGCCTAAGTCCTTGCATTAAATCCTTTTTGAAATACTTAGAGTGGGTTCTATGTCCCTGACTGAACCCTGTCTGATATACCTGGCATATGGTTGCCACCTTGTTGTCACAAGATGGCTGCTCTACATCAAGTGTTGTGTCCAGAAAAGAGAAGAGAAAAGACAAAGGCAGCCACACTTGAGGCTAAGGGAACAGTCTTCCAGACTGCCAAGTCTGCCCAAGATTCTGACACCAGCTGCAAGTTTGGGGGTCCCCAGAACCATTCTCACTTCCTACCAGTTGGCTACAAATTTGGGGGTCCCCATAGACTTCCTCAGGCATGTAGCAAAGTGTTATACTTACAATTATAGTTCTTTTTTTTTAAATAGCAAAAGGATGCAAATCAGATATAAATCAGAACCAGCCAAAGGAAGAAATACATTGGGCAGAATCTGGGACTGAGAGGGTTCCAAACAGGAAGCTTGCATTGTCCTCAGGGACATATTACCTTACCAGCATCAATCTATAGTAGTACCTATCACCATCCCAGGCATTTCAGCAAGCTCTGGTGTCCAGAGTTTTTACTGGGGTTTCATCACATGTATATATGATTGATTGGATCATTGCCCACTTGGTTGATCTCAGTCTTTAGCCTTCTCTTGTTCCCTCCCCTGAGACTGGATTGATATCACCTGGCTCAACACCCCTATCCTCTAATTACATGGTTGGTCTTTCTGGGTTGGCCAGCTCCCATGCTTAGTCCTCTTATTAGCATAAACTGTCTAGGGCCCTTCCATGAGTCACCCAAAACATAAGCATAAACTGTCAGATGTGGTTGGAGGGGCCCACCATGAATAACAAAGATGTCCCTGTCATTTGGGAAATTCCAAGCTTTTAGAAGTTACGTCCCATGAGCCTGGACCTTCCATGAGCCTGAACCTTCCATGAGCCTAGATCTCTTTTTGGCATATCTCTTTTTGACAGAACCAGGTCTGTCACCCTTTTAAAGATTTTTTCCTTAAGCCCCAAACAGCAGCTTCCACTTAACCTCCTTGATCAGGATTCTGTTACATGACTATCTCCATAGAAAGCTGGGAAATATTTTTTTAAGGTGGTACATTGCTGCTCCTCTTCATCCACTGAAATACGAGTTTATTAATAAGGAAGAAAGAGAATAGATACTAGGTAGACAGTTACCTTTCACTGCCGCAGCTGCCTTGTTAGTAGAGACAGAAGTTGAGATCTGTTGTGCAATAATTTATTATGAAAAGCATGTAAGCCTAGTAGTTTATTTATTTTAGGACAGCAAATATTTACTAATTGCCATTTGAGATTGACTAATAATGTACAATTTAAGATACTATAATAAATATTTCCAACTTTGCTTTATAAGTCAATGACCACATAAAATTTTTAATGTTATTTCTATCATTAACAGTGCAGTTTATCAAAAACATTTTCTTACAAACAATGTAGAAATGTGTGGCTCTGATCTTGTGCCTTTATTCAGGCTCTCAAGTCATAACATTTCTGTGAGAGAAAGTACAGTGGTATATTTAATTTCATTGTCTTCCTTGCTTCATAGCCAAGCGTAATAAAAATAAGATGAATAATGTCAGTATTTAAAAGAATAATTTTGTTCTTTCTCTGTGCTTATGGGTAGAAATAAGACAGCAAATGCTTATAGCCAAGGGCATTAAGAATGCACTTTGGTGGTGAATGCATATGAGCTTAGGAGCTGCTCAGGAGAAAGAACATAAACACCCAGAGGATTTTCAGTAAGAAGTGCCTGCATATTTGGCACTTTCTGGTCCAAAGCTGGTAATATTTTCTTTTGGTCCAGTTAATTTTTCCTCTCTTATTAAGGGAACGGCAAGATTTCAAGGTCAGTTAATAAAATGGTTCAGCTTGAGCATATAAACTTGCTAAAGACCTCCCAAAGACATCAGATTATATAGGGAAGAAGGAATGTGAAGTATTTATAGAAAACCTACTAAGATTTGGCTTCTATGAGAAAGTAGTCTGTTTATCATTAAATCCTATAGTATAGTGCACTAGTCCACAATTTGAAAAAACAAATCACATTCTGAAGCATCCTTTTCAGGTTAGATGGCATATAGCAGGCTGGATCCAGCCTATCATATGCTTTGTGTAATCATCAATACAGTACATTAAAGAATAATATACATTTCTGGCTCAAGCTTGTACTTTCTGTTTTGCCATAGACATACTACTCTTTATTACTTACTCTCTGTTCTTCATACATTGTAATACCTGACCAGCCCTCAAATATATTTGATTTTGTGACTCCATTATATTAGCATATCAACCATTGCCTCAGAGGAGGGAGCTGTCACAGTGTGCTTTTAGTTGTTTAAGGTCTACTTCACCAGTAGACTCTAAACTCCAGGTGAGCAAGGACCACAGCTGTTTTACTCTTTGTGGATACCCTGTGTCTGTTATAGGGCCTGGCATGTACTGGATGAGCAGTAAAATTTGTTTTTGTCCCTCTCACGAGGGACCCAAGGTCATTTGTTGACTTATTCATGTAGTCATTTATTCTTTTTTATTTACTTCCCTTAAATTGTAAGCCTTACATTGTGTTGTGGGTAAAGCTGGTAAAGTGTGAAGCACAGTGTCTTTTCCCAGGAATTCTATCATCTAGTTGGGGAGAGCACATCAATGGGTTAATTTGAGCAGCAGGTCCTGGTGTGCTAGCCTATGTTGTTTTTTGCCAGGGAGTAGGTAGGAGCCACTCAGAATTACTGGCATAGAGAGTTTTGCAATGGCCAGTGGGGCATGTAGATTGAGCCACCCTGGATCTTAGTAGGTCAAGGCTAGAGAGTAATATTGAACAGGGAAGAGGGCTGGGGTTACAGTGTGGAACAGTCACTCTCTCTGGCCTTGTTGTTTTTGTAGTGTAATCTATGGAAAATAAAACTTTGCAGATGTTTTTGACTGATAGAGAAAGACTCTAGGGACCAAAGGTTTAAAAAGGATGAAACACTCTAGACTAGATTTAAGATGAAGCAGGACAGGAGCTGCAGGCTAACTGGTAATCTTAATCCAGAGCCGAGGACCAAGCAGGGCCAGCCAAAAGAGCTGATTCATCTAAATAATGGAGAAATTATGTTGATCCCACTGGCAGCATCAAGGAGCTTTTAGGCACAACTTGCCTTGGTGAAGGCTGCAGCTCCACTTTGGGAGGAAATGTTGGTGCTCACTCTGGAGGGAGACAGTGGGTTCAGATTTCAAGCTCTGCTGATTAGTAGCTTGTGACCTTGGGCAAGTCCCTTAATTATCCTTAGTCTCAATTCCCTCGTTTGTAAAATGGGCTTAATAATACATATCGTACAGAATTGTTGTGAGGATTGAATAAGATAATTCATGTAAAGCACTCAGAGCATGCCTAATATATGGTAAGCACTCATTAGTGATAGGGGATGGGGAACATTATAAAGCAGTATATGCTTCAATGTTAAATGAGTGGCACAGAAAAGAACTTTAGGAAGTATGGAGATTACTATGGGTACTTGATGTCTGTGCAGGTTTCAGGACACCCATCTGAGAGATAAAGAGAAAGAAGAAAAACAAGATATGTGTAACACTCTGTTATGTACTTGTGCCACTAATTCATTCTTTCATTTATTAAACATTAAGGTGTCTTCGGTGTTAAAAGTAACACTGATATCCTACCTTGTAGGAATGTACAGTCCAGTGTAGGAGGCAGTCCAGAAAGCAGAGAAGTGGTGATGACATGGTTAAGTGCTGTGACAGAGATATGAACAAGGTGATAAGGGAGCACAGAGACTGGAGCAGCCAACTCTGCCCAGGAGCAAAGAACAGGAGGGTATGTTTAGTCTGAGGTAATGCCATTCCCAAAGACACAGAGTTGTGAAAGGTCCTGCCATGGTCAGAGGCTGTGGGAAGTTCAACATGACCCACGGGGACACTCTACACCGTAAACTCTAAGTCAGCAAGGATTGTGTGTGGATTTTGCTTACCACTGTGATCTTACCACTCAACGCTAGGACTGCCCTCTAGCAGATGCTAGAAAACTTGCTGAGAGAAGTAGTGGAGTGTGTGATGGGCATTATGTCTAGTGCTTTCATATGCCCTTTCCATGTAAACCTGACAGCTTCAGTGATATAACTCCCATTTTTACCATCAGTGAGATAGGAGGTTCAGAGAGTTTGAGACGCACAGTTACTAAATAGCAGAGTCAGTATTTGAATCCACAAAGTAGAAAACTCTAAAATAGAAATGAAAGAGGGCATTCTTACATTTTGTCTTTTAAAGATCCTTTGGAAGGGAAAACTTTCTCTGTATTTTCCCCATCATTTAATCCTTAAGGGTAATAAGAGTTTAAAGAAATAAAAGCAGTACTAACCCTTTTCTCTACTTTTGCTATTCATTGTATGGAAATGAAATTTATAATTTACTTGAGGAATTATTCTGTTTATATCAAGAAACATGTAAACCTTCTAAATGATGGAAACGTTCTAAACAGTACTTTCTAGAATTAGTAATAGAAAAGTCGAAATCACCTAACTTCAAGCTGTCCCTTTTAAAGTGGGTCTTCACACCATCTGTCCTAAAGTGGACTTGGCAGCTTCAACCACTGTCTGCTGCTACATGATTTCTGCCAGAGGCTGAGGGCACCAACCCGTTGATGAATCAATGGCAGACTTGTACCGCATTTTTCTGAAAGTGTAAGTTCTTTATTGCTTATCATTGAGATTTCTTGTTATTTCTATTAAATTAGCATTCTTCATAATATTGAGGTGATCTGAAAGGACGATGGAAGGATTGTGACCTTGCTTCCCCTTATAGAAACAAACAGAATTTAAAGCTTCTAAACTTAGGATTAAATCTTAATTGCTGGCTTTAGGAGCCACTGAGTAATGATCACATTTTCACACAGTATGAGCCATTTGACATAGGGAGGATTGTGTGTGTTTTAGGGAAACCTGAATTTTATGTAGCTTTACAGAACTGTATGTGTAATTTTAGTAATTGCATGTCATGTGTGGTATAGTTTATCAAGTCTGCTGATACTGCTTATATAGCATAGGAAATATTAGGCTATAATTCTGTGCTTTTTTGTAGAAGTGATCTAATTGATAGCATTCATACTTTATACTTTGTTAAAATCAAAACAAGCTTTTAATTGATAAGCTTTCAGAAATATCATCATAACTCATTTCCTTCTCTCACTTGAATTTGTTTTTTTCCAAATGAATCTTCTCTTCAAGAAGTATATGTATATATGTGCTCACACACATTTTCTTTTTAAAGGATTTAAGTTCTAGTGTTAGATTGACCTGGATTTGAGTCTTATACCTCCCATGTATTAACTTGTGATCTTAAGAAGTTATCCCAACTTTCTAAGCCTCAATTTCATCATTTGTAAAGCAGGGATAATAATAGTATCTACTGTGATTGTTGTGGGAATTAAATAAAATGTAAAGTGCTTGGTACATAGTAAGTATTCAAGATATGAATGCATGATATTAGTAATAATGGATATTGGTATCAGTGTATATTTCTACTTTAATATGTGTTTGACAACTTCTAGTCACATAATTTTCATGAGAGCATATGATGTGAACAACAGCTGATAGAACTGAGAAGTGATCTTTTTAGAAGTATGAAAAGTCAGATTTGTCTTTTTCTAATTTTTTTTTCTGACTAGTGAATATCTTAGAATGTTTGTATCCTTAGGCTTGACTTTGTAATGATTATGTGAATTATTATTTCAGTGATTATGCATATTCAGGTATATCATAAAGTCAAGTGATATTCTCTAAAAATCACTCCTGATGCCTGTATGATCTAATCAAGACTGCAAGGCAGATATCAATCTCATTCACTTATTAATTCACTCATTTAGTAACTCTTTATTGAGCATCTTTTATGGGCCAGGCTCTGTGTAGTTTCTAGGCCTATGTAGACAAAACGGGCTCTCAACCTTGAGGAGCATGGCCTAGGGAAAGCCAGGCCAGTACACAGATCAAATATATGATGATACAGGTTATAACAGGTATCTTAATCAAGTGTGTGGAATACAAAAGAGGCAGTGACAACTCTGCTTGGGTAAGTCAGGGAAGACTTCATGGGGAAGTTAATGTCTGAGGTGGGAATTAAATATGTCTGAGTAAGATAGGAGAGAGAGTACAGTGTAGCAGTGGCTTATGTAATGATTCAGCTGCCATTTCGTGACTTAGCTTGGATTATCCTGGAAGCCTTAGGAAGTGAATTCAATGTGCTCCTTCCTTCCCTCACTTCCACCTCAACTGGCCAACCACATTCACTATTTATGGGTCAGTGCTTGTCCCCTGGTAAAATGGGAAGAACATAATACAAGTTTATTCTTGTTATAATAAATAAGTGAAGTGAAAAACCTCAGGAAATATATTAAAATGATATATTTAGTTGATTACCTAGGGTCGACAGAATTTTAACAAGTAATTTTACAGTATCTATTTAATAAATGTTTGAGTACCTATTGTGTGCCAGGTACTGTGCTAAGATGGTAATGCATATTAATTTTTAAAATCAATGAACTGAAAAGTACCATCCATTGGCTAAATACAAAACAGTATAAACTTGCAAAGACAAAGTCTAGTTTGATAAAGTATAGAGAGCATGTGTTTAAACCTCTATCAGAGAGTAAAAAGGGCAAAGTTGCAAGTATTACTTCGGTAGTTGCTGCCAAAAATCTTTTTTGGAATATAAATAAAAAACAACGATAAGAGTGGCCTGTTTTAAGATTCTGCAAGTTCTCTGCTTTCTTGAGCATTGTATAGACAGATGAAGCTTCACTGTGTTTATTCTTGTCAGATTATTGGTACCGCTCAGAGTAAAGCCTGTCTTCTCTCTGTTCTCCAGTGCATTATTGTAGCAGATGGCTTTTAATAAAACATGTAGCTAAAGAAAAATTTTTACCCTATTTTAGTGGAACGTACTATAATTATAAATACTGGACAGTCTCAAGAGGAAATGTTTAAATTGGTATTTTTCTTATGATCAAATAACATTTAGTGAATATTTAATTGAAAAGTCAAATTATGGTATCAGTTATGTATTTTTTTAAGTTTCCACAACTAAATTAAACTTTGTACATCATTTAGCCAGGTAGATATTTGCTTTTTCTTTACGTGGTTTATTTTTTAAAAATTCAATGCTGTATGTTAGTCAAATAACACTCAACACTAGTTTTGTTGAGAGGCAGGGCATTGCTTAATTACATAGCTGCTCTGTTCTCTGTCATCACCTTGTCTAGTTGTAGGAAATGAGCTTTTTGATAGAATGGGGTTACTCCTGCTGAGTCTGTACCATTGGTATTATAAAAATCACAGACTCTTGTACTGGTATGTTACTGATGTAGCCATAAAATTTAAAAATTTCTCCAGAAAATTCATAGTTCTTTAAAACTTATTAACCAAAAAAATAAAGGGGACAAGGATACTAAAGAATACTCACTGTGTTGTAATCTAAATAACTTGAGCATGTACATAGTAGAAGGTCTTTATTAAAGGGGACTAAGAATTATTGAGATTCTTTAAGAAAATGTACCTTTTATTTCCTCCTTTCTTGCATAATAAGGGCGATGGTTTCTTACTACATAATTATACCGTTGCTTATTATTTTTTTCACCACATAATTTTTATTAAATTTTCTTCTCATTACCTGAGGTCTTTCATTTTCTATCATATCAATATTGACACCTACATGTGTAAAAACTATGATTATATATGTGAATCTGAGAACTCAAGAGTTTTCCCGCCAGCATTGATACGTTTCTCTAAAAATTTAAAAATATATTCTTAATTGTTTTCATGTATTTAAGTGATAATGTTCTGCTTCTAGTGGTAAGTGTTGTTTTTGTTATTCTTTAAATATAATACATAGTTTTGAGGTTAATTAAGGAAAAGATGATTTTGTAATGAATTAGAGTAGGAGTACACTGTTTTGAGGGAAGACTGGGCTATTGCTGAGCATGGATTAGTGGCATAAAAGCTATATTTATAGCTATAGAATTAAGGATAAGAGGAAAACATGGATATTTTTCTTAAATCTCACAATTTTCAAGAGCCCGAGATTATAATGTGATTCCTGGATCCCAGTTTCATGGTAACTTTATGGACTTATCTGCACATATTTCTAGAGCATATTTATATTTTATTGGGTAACATAGTGTGCTGAGTTTTCTCCAGAGTTTTGCTTTGACTTTGATTTACTTTTCCATTCAAATTTATGTTTAGATATGTTTACCATTAATTAGTGCCAAGGTTAAACAAGGAAGAGGGCTTCCCTGGTGGCGCAGTGGTTGGGAGTCCGCCTGCCGATGCAGGGGATGCGG